CGTCTGATCCCTTCCCCATTGGTCGATTCTCTCAGCCAATCAGATTTTGAGGTCAGGTTTTTCGCTTATTGCTCACGTAAATCATCGGAGGGAGTTATCTGAACGGACAGAGAGTCTTAGGCGCTATCGAACTGCTACAGTAACCCCAAGTCTACCTCACATCGTTCACGAAAAAGGACGTTGAATTCTGATTGGCTAAGCGAATCTATCAATCAGATTTCAAGACCGGTTTTTTTTTTCTTATTCTTCACGTAAGTAGTCGGTGCGAGGTATCCTAACGGATAGACTATTTCACGCGCTACTGATTTACTATGGCAATCTCAACTGTATCTATCGCCGTTGGCGACAAACAAGGTCTTGAATTCTGATTGATCAATTCTGTTAGCCAATCAGATTTCGAGGTGAGTTTTTTCACGTATTCTTCAACTGAATCACTGGTGCGAATTATCCAAAAACAGAGAATTACAAACGCTACCGATTCTCTGTGGCAATATCAACTCTATCTATCACCGTTCACCAGAAACAAGCGCTTGAATTTTGATTGGCTGAGAGAAGCGGCCAATCAAATTTCCAGGTGAGGTTTTTCGCTTGTTTTCGATGCGGGACATAGAATTGTCTGAAGCGATTGATCGACGACATTAACAATTCATGATCGGCTAAGCAAAGCCAACCTCACCTTCTACGACCGAAATAAGCGAAAACAACTCTCCTGATATCTGATTGGTTGATACAAGGAACCAATCAGATTTCAAGGTGAGTTTTTCCACTCATTTTGTACCCCAAAACATAGAGCTGCTTGAGATGAATGACAGAGATCATTGAAAACATCACGACTGGCCAGCAATATCTTATTAGCTGTGTGAAGAACGAGAAGAAACCTGTCCTCAAGTCTGATTGGCTAAAAAATAACCAATGAGATTTCGATGCGAGTTCTCTCTCTCAATTGCAAATCCTACGGTCTCTAACCGCGAAAGAGAAAGGGGCGTACTATATGTAGAAAGCTACGAGGAACAACATATCGAACCAAGATATAGAAGCCGCAATTTATCACACGGAATCCGTGTAACAAGAGACCGTAATATGTTACCGAGAAGAAAAAAATGCATATCGAAGTTCATGACAGCCAAAAGATAGTATTAGAAAGTAACCCTACATTTTGCAGAGCGTCCAGCTAGTATTACTCATAATATATAGATTTAATTTGTTGTGAAATTATATTAAGGATAGTGCTTGTGAATTTTATATCATTTATTATAAATAAATTTTTATCTGACTTATAAACATATTCGTAGGTTCTTCGGGAAATGCAAACAATCAGTTGAATACTCCCACTGATATCGCATTAGATTCAAACACTGCTACACTTTACATAGCAGACTCTTTTAATCATCGAGTTATGCGTTATTTATCTGGTACTTCCGCAGGTACGCTAGTGGCTGGCAATAATTCAGCAGGTACAGGTAATACACAGTTGTGGCAACCTACTAGTGTTTATTTCGATTCGCCCACGAACAGTCTCCTTATTGCCAATACTTATGCACATAATATTGTTCGTTGGGTGTTGGGAGACAGTTGTTGGACACTAGTCGCTGGCAATCTTAATGGAAGCTCTGGAAACACGTTCAGAGAACTTCAATATCCTAGAACTGTAACACTCGATCCAATGGGCAATGTGTATGTCGCCGATACAGTCAATCATCGCATTCAATTTTTCTTAAATGGTGAAACAAATGGAACAACAATTGCTGGACACACAGGTTCACCTGCTAGAAATGCTACTGGACTATTTTATCCTTCGAAAATAGTGTTAGACTCTCAGCTTAATTTGTATGTTGCGGACACGGATAATCAACGAATACAAAAATTTCTACGATATTGAAAAATAAACCAACACTCGCAGCCCAGAACTGTTTCTTCCAATCAAACTCCGATATTTCGCTTTTGAATTGTATTTCATTCTGGATTTGTTCTAATAGCTCAAAAATAAAAATATATTTTACAACATTGTCAACACACTAACAGAAAATCAAAAAATTGAGCGTCGTTCAGGGTGTCGATGTGTGTCGGTGGATGCGGGTGTGGGTGTGGATGTGGTTGTAGGTGTGGGTGAGATGTGTGGGGTGTGGGTTCCGGTGTGGATCTTTTCTTCAGCTACACCCACATCAATCCCACGCTTATACCCACACCGACACCCACATCTATATCCACACCCACACCTACATCCACACACACACCCCACACCCACAGCCAAATACAGGACATGAAAATCAAGAGCATTTTTACGCGTGAAAACGATTAGAGTATTTAACGATGAATAATTAAATGACTTTCGTTAGGAATCACAATATTCATTAAAACTCGTTAAAATATTTCACTCGTGAAAACAGTTACTAGATTTAATGAGAATCAATCAGTTAGCCTTCGTGAAATATGGAAAACTTCGTGAAAACGTGTTAATACATTTAACGCGTGAAAACAACTGCAATATTTAATGAGATGCAATGCGTTAGTTACTGTTAAAAAGAAAGGCACGCATGAAAAAGCCCGAATATTCTAACGCGTTTTTACGAAACTCCAAAGTATAACGAAAGTTCATGAAATTTTCTTCGTGAAACTTCATTAATTTATAGTTTAATGTAACGTTTTGCGTTAATTTAAACAATCATTTTCGTTAAATGTCTTTTTATTTTTACATGAGTGATAGTGAAACTAAATTGATAGATCTATAGAAAACTTACATAACCATCATAAGTATTAGCATATTGCTAATACTAATTTAACACTGATGTCAAAGTATTACGTTATTGTTTTAAAACTAACACAAACGCATTAAATTGTTTCTTAACTCTAATGCGAAAGTATTAGCACTTTTTAAATACTAACGCTAAGTCGACACTGCTAATGATATTGGTGGATATTGTTCGAGAACGGATTGAACAAAATGAGAAACCATATTCTTTTTACATTGGATAATTGTTCGATATTTAATTATGAAAAAAACTGGATTTTTCAAGTTTAAAAATGTTTTAAGAGTCCGATTTATGATGCATAATTCAGCAAAATGGATTTGAATCTCATTGACTAGAAACTAAGATGTTGTGACAGAGTTTGATTTCATGCCGAATGAACAACTTATGGATAATTGGTCAAATTAGTCGATATTATTCACGAACGATCAGAAGAATAATGACACATTATGGGAAGAAAAAAAACTGGATGATTTTCGTCGACTTTAATATGATGGAAATCAATGAGAAACAACAAGTTAATTCAATATCTGCATCGAATCTATGGCATGTTTGTTTCCTTAGAAATACTCTTCGATATCGTTTGATGAAAACCATCCGTTCCTCATTGCTCCAAAATAACATCATTTTGAGAATATGAAAACTGAAATCACTTTTGGAGCATTAATGGAAGTCAATCATAACAGTTCGTTTGGTTTTGGTTTTCGTTACATTGATAATAAAACAAGCTCGGCGTTTGAACCTATATGAGAATTCGTTCGATGAAAGCAAGTCATGACACCATATGGTTTCATCTTATGTTTTTAGAGAGCTCCTCTACTCTATCTGTTTAGTGGACAGGAATTTCGAATGAGAAAGTGGAAGAAAAATAGATGCACATAGTAAACGAGAAGTTACTCAAAGAACATGCGCACGTAAAAGTGGCACAGACAGAAAGGAAAAGACGCTACGTTTTCATTTAAAGAAGTCCAACAATAGTTCAAATATTGGCTTGAATGAAACTTCATTAACTCTATTATATTAGTTTTTATCTGCAAATCTCGAAACTTTTCATATAGCTTCATCAGTTTTCTATTGGTATTTTCTTTAAAACAAGATAAGTATCGTACATAGAAAAATTATCATCATGCGACTTGTCTTTAATATCATTTTCAAAAAGAGTCCAATATTGATTAAGTATGGTCTCAATGTTTTCAATCGATCGTCCATTCATCTCTAGAGCGTTTCGAAGAGCTGATTTGGTCCAAGGGCGTGTCGTTTGAGTGTGAACTTTTGCACATTCATCGAGTGTCATTTGACCATCACGATACTCATCGAACAACCGTGTTGAATATTTTTTCAAAGCCGATTTGATAAGTTTAAGCGAATATCGCTCGAAGAGTTCGAAATCAAGACATTCGGCAGGAGAACGAATATACATTGGAATCGTGTAATCCAATATTTCTTGATCAGTCAGTAATGAAAGATCTTGTGCACATTTATAGAGACGATCAAGTATTTGTTCACCCCCACTCAACCCTTTCTCGTTAGTACACCAGATGGCAAGTATAAGAACACTGCCAATGTGTAGTTCAGAAGAACGATGTTCAAGAAATTGAGCTAGATCCAGACGAGCTTGTTCTTGAAATGACGCGAGTTCATTGCCCTGTGCTCGTATCGATGCGCAATGATTCGAGGGTGTGGGTGGGTGTGGGTGTGTTGTTGAAGAACAGAACAACACCCACACCCACACCCTACGTCGACCATCGACAAACATAGAAATTGAGTCTCCATTTGTAGTTTCAAAAGATACATATATAGAAAAACTCCATTCATTTGACTTTCCCATCATACCATTTGAATGCAAATATATTCTTGGTAATAATTGTAATGCAGAATCTATAAAGATACATCGTATCTTTGTAGAGAAAAAGACAGAACAAATAGAAACAAAATTGAATAATGACATCAAAATTTGTTACAGTTGTAATTGTTAAACCTAATCGATGTATATTAGCAATCATTTCTTTTACACGATTTTATTAGCATCATTTGCTACTAATATACCATTAGTTCTCATTAATGCATCTAATTTTAAATCTTTTACAAACAAAATTTTTTTTAATATAAACTTTCTTTCTACCAATATACGTTGCTTTTGCACTAGGAGCTGTATACATATCTAAAATTTTTTCATTAGGTTGAGGTGTTAATAACATAAGAGGTAAAAAAAACTTGAAACACCTTGTAACATATAATTGTTCAATAAGATATTAAGGTGTTGCACCAATAGATACTTGACTATTATATTATATATAATAAGACCAACTTTAATGTAGTTGTCCAGTAGCTTCGAAAAACTCGATTATCTATAAATTAAATTGAATTTGGGAAAAAGAATATTTTTTTTTAATTTCAGTAAGTGAAAATAAATCAATAATTTTTTTAATTAGAACAATCATTCTATGAAAAATTTCTGAAAAAAGAAAAGAAAAAAACTTGCCTCAATTGATTTCTTCAAAAATTTATTTTCTTGATTTTTTTTTTCTTATTACAAAAAAAAGAATAAATCAAATTAACTTACAGTCATTATATCACCAGTTGACATTGACATATCATCAGAACGTTCTGATTTATAATCATCTAATGCTTGATATCGAATTGTACCTAGATTAAAAGAGTCTAGAAATTGATTTTTGTTTTCAGATCTACTAACCAGAAGAAGAATTTTCATTAAAAACATTTTGTGATTCATCATTTGTTGTATTAAATGGTGTCCAAATATTTCCATTTTTATTAGTTATTGTTGTTGTTGTTGTTGTTGTTGTTCCACTCCATGGATCAACTGATGATGATTTAGCTTTTGGTGCTGTATTTTTTGTGTTTGGAAATTCAATTTTTGAACCAAATGGATAATTTGTTGTAGGAACATTGTTCGATGATTGAAACCAAACATTTGGTGCTGTTGATGAACCTATATCAGATTGAGAAGCAAATGGATCGACTGTTTGAAATGGATCAACATCAATATTAGAAGAAATATTAGCATGAAATTGATCATAATTAGCTGAGAAATAAATATAATGAAGCAAGAAAAAAAACCGATAAGAGCATAGACTAGACACAAAAGAAATAGTGACCAAATGCTGAAGGAGTAGTAATTTTGCTTAAAAAATGAATAATAATAAATTTTAGATTTAGAAAATTAATAGATTTTTTTTTAATTTGCTTTGATGGTTTTTTATTTTTAGCATCTTGTTCAAGTTGATTGAGTTGAAGACGAAGTTGTTCCATTTGATTTTAATATTGTTTACATTGATTAGTAAATGTAAGAATTTGTTCATCAATACATCTATTTTCTTGTTTCATAGTTTCTATTGCTGTTTGGAATTGGAAGAATTTCATTTGCTCAGATTTTCGACTACCCATACCTTTATATAGAAAAAAAGGTTAAAAATACATTCCAGAAGTTTCCTTTGATCGATAGAAAGTATTAACGATAATCTCGATGCTAGGTTTCGCTGACTTTCGAACCGGATCTTGAAAGCCAATCACCATACTCTTGATTCCAAGATCCAACTATTTCCGAAGTGTTCTTGATGGAATTGGCTGCACGCTATTCCCCATGAGCAGATTAAAATGAAATGTACAGTAACTTCAACTCACATGAAAAAAGCTGAGTCATCAATCCTGACTCAAACGATGAAAAGTTGCTTGATCAGCTTCAGCTCAGTGAATTAAACACATCTTATTATTTGACTATCTCATAGCAAAACAAATTTCTTATTCAGCTAAATTTAACAGCATCATATCTCGAAATCTGACGATTTTTTATGATCTGTTCCAGGGTTCCCGATTGTTTTTAGAAGTGAGAGGGGCTATAAATTCTACAGAGAATCCAGACATTTTTGCAGAAAGTTCCTTTATTCGACTTTCTGCCATACATAGAACACAGGACACTAAAATCATCGACTTTCTGCGAGCACTTTATGGCACAAAGTATCTTTATATGACTTTGTGCCGAAGACTGAGCTAAGATTATTAAAACTCGCTTTCTGTCAGGATTTCCTACGCGACTTTAAAAATTTCTGCAGAAAATGTTGAAATTTTGGCAGAAAGTCCGAGATTTTTGGGAGGGGAAGTCCTTGTCATTCCTCCTCCCCCTCCGCCTCATTGGTAACTCTGATCTGTTCATCGAATGTAGATCCTGATTCAACGAACTTTATCATCTAAGCCGTATGAATCATATCTAGGATAAGTTAGTAGATATGAGCAAAACCAGGAGATCTGAATTTTGATTTTAGTAAAAATTTATCTAGCAAAACACTTGAAATAATCTTCTACAAATATCGATAAGTTTGAAACGAGCTGCTACTAAACTGTGATTCGTATAAAACTCAACATTCTTTTTCTAGAATATTTACTCTTTGGTTTTAACTAATCAATATTTTGTTTAACATGAGAGTTAGTCTCATAGATCAAACCGATCCGTCTAAAATCTATATCGGTATTGATTTCATATCTGGTTTGTCTATTACACATATCTGTTGTTTATAGAAAGAGATGATCGAATTGTTTGAGAATTTAAACTCATATGATCGTTAGTCGATATTTTCTACTTGACTTTACTGTTAAATTTAAATATTCATTTTTTTGCTGATTCAATATTGGAAGCGAGTGGGTTGAGTCTTGCTCTTCTCAATCAAATTATTGCACAACTATCTTAAAGGTTCAAAAGATTTTAATTTAATACAATTCTTATTAAATTCTTTCCATTTGATTAAGATGTTTTAATGATGAATTCAATGATTTTTTTCCGATTTTTATATTATGTAATTTCATCATTAAATCTTTACGTTGTTGTTCAATGTTTTCAAAAAGATTTTTTTCATTAAGTTGTACGTTTTTGTATATCAATTATTGTTTGATCAATTATTTGAATATTTATATTTATTTGAATAGTATCATCCATATTTTGTAATTCAAGCTCAAGAGCTTTTTCACGAGATTTTAAATCATTTATTTGTTCACGTAAACGAGATTTTTGTGTTGTTAATTCTTGCATATGTTGTTGTTCCCATTCAAGACGACTTTTATATTCCATTTCTTTTCTTGTTGTCTAAAAAGAAAAGAATAGATAGATATAAATAATGATTCTTTTAAATTTACTTTTCGTTATTCAAATAATTTTCTTCGTTCTTCTTCTTTATGTTGTTCCATTTGTCGTTTTCTTTTTAATTGTCTTTCAAATTTCATTTGTTTTTCACGTTTTTGATTATTTTTTGTTTTTGTAATTCTAATTCACGTTTATATTCTATAAAAGAAAAATTCGAAATTTTCTTCAATTATTTAATTCTATTAATTACCTCGTTCTTCACGTTCTCTTTGTACACGTTTTTCTTGTTCACATAATAATTGTTGATGTTGTTGTAATTCTTTATATCCATTCTATAAAAAAAATAAATTCAAAAAAAAAGTTTAGAAAATTATTTGTTGAGATACAAACTTCATAATTTTTCTGACGTTTTTCTTCATAAGTTACTACTAAACTATTTTTTTCGTTCAAGCTCTGTTGTTTCATCAGAATGATTGTCTGTTGTATTTTGTAATGCAAATGTATCTTTAAGTTCTTGATTAATATGAGCAAATGCTTGATTCATATTTGATTTTGATAATGAACCTGTACATTCATGTTGCATTATAGTTGCATGTGACCATTCTTCTGGTAAACGATATGGTAATGTTTAACCAGCACCAACAATATCACAATAATGCATTGCAACAACAAATTCATTCGGAGTTAAACGATCATTTTTATCATGATCAGCTAAACTCCTTAACAAAAAATAAAAAATAAAGAAATATGCGTTAGAATTGAATGTAAATCAAGTCATGCTACTATTTATAAGTTTTGAAAAGGATCGATTTGATGGTTTAAATATAGTGAAATGCAATAGACTAATATAGTTAGCAGTTTTAGGTAGTGTGACTTCATATTATGACAATGAAGAAGTTTTCACGTTGTGCAAGATATTTCTGAGAGAATGAAACAAATATTTTTAATATAAATTCTTTCCTATAGATAGGTCTAATAGTTATTAAAATGTCTTGAAAGTTTCAACGAAAAGGAATGTCTTTCTCAAGATATTTAATTTAAAAAAAAACAGCTGTGAGATATAGAAAGACATGTTCATTTTCGTTGAAATTTTCAAAGAATTACAATGACTATTAGATTTATCTATAGACAACATTTCAGATCAAAAGTAT